GCAGGGGCCCCCATCCCCGGCCCGGTCCCAGGGGGCCCTCAGGTTCCTTGTCCCCGGGGGGCTGGCAGGGTCCCCATTCCCGTCCCCAGGAGGTGGCTCGGTGGGGTCGTGCAGGGCAGGGATACCCCCGGGGGACAGGCGAGGGTGTTTGGGAGGTGCCAGCAGGATTTGTCACCCTGCCGCTAGCAGCTTGGCTTCACCTCCCGCTTGTGGTGTTTGGGAAGAGGTTTGGTGCGGCCGATCCTCCCCTGGCAGCACCCGTCGTCATCTGGCCCCGGGGGACCCCGACACCCCCTGCCCCACGCGCAGCTGCGGCAGTGCCCCAGGGTCCTCGCCTAATCGCAGCAGGTAAAACCCTTTCTCCTTTATTTTGGCAGATGCGATGGTGACCCGTCCTCCGTGTGTCCCAACTCCGCTCGGTGCTGAGCACCGTCAATAACCCCACACTGGCGGCACTGTGCAGCATGGGGCTGTTGTGCCGCATGTGCCTCTTGCTGGTGCTCGCCCTGGCCCCGCTGGGCGCCGGTGCCTGGCAGTGCCCCCGCATCCCTTACAGCTCCACCAGGAACTTCTCCGTCCCCTACACACTGCCCAGCCTTGATGCCAGCAGCCCCGTGCAGAACATCGCCGTCTTCACCGACTCCGCCGGCCCGGCCGCCGTCTTCGTGGCCGTCCGCAACCACATCCTGCTGGCCAGCCCCGAGCTGCGCCTCCTCTCGGTCCTCGTCACCGGCCCGGTGGGCAGCGCCGAGTGTGAGATCTGCCGCCTGTGCCCGGCTGCCGCGGACGGCCCCGAGGACACGGACAATGTCCTACTGCTGCTGGACCCGCTGGAGCCGTGGCTGTACAGCTGTGGCACAGCGCAGCACGGGCTGTGCTACCAGCACCAGCTGGAGGTGCTGGACGGCAAGGTGGCCATCACGACCACGCGCTGCCTGTACTCAGCCACAGGCAACAGACCTGCGTCCTGCCCCGACTGCGTGGCCAGCCCCCTGGGGACCAGTGCCACTGTGGTGGCCACCTCCTACGCCTCTTTCTTCTACCTCGGCTCCACCGTCAACAGCAGCGTGGCGGCGCGGTACAGCCCGCAGTCAGTGTCGGTCCGCAGGCTGAAGGGCACCTTAGACGGCTTTTCGGATGACTTCCAGTGGCTGACGGTGCTGCCGCAATACCGGGACAACTACACCATCCACTACGTGCACTCCTTCGCTGACAGGGACCACGTCTACTTCCTGACGGTGCAGCCAGAGCGGCCGGGCTTGGCGGTGTACCACACGCGCCTGGCGCGGCTCAGCACCCACGAGCGTGACCTCCCCCCGCCACTCGTGAGCTTGTCCTCGACTGCCGCTTCGAGTCCAAGCGGCGGCGGCGGCGCAGCGGCGAGGAGGATGCCGAGCGGGATGTTGCCTACAACGTGCTGCAGGCTGCCCACACCGCCCGCCCCGGCGCCCGCCTGGCCCGCGACCTCGGCATCAACGACACCGACATGGTACTCTTCGGTGCCTTTGCTGAGAGCTGGCCAGACAGCCTGGTGCCGCGGGAGGACTCTTCGAGTCCAAGCGGCGGCGGCGGCGCAGCGGCGAGGAGGATGCCGAGCGGGATGTTGCCTACAACGTGCTGCAGGCTGCCCACACCGCCCGCCCCGGCGCCCGCCTGGCCCGCGACCTCGGCATCAACGACACCGACATGGTACTCTTCGGTGCCTTTGCTGAGAGCTGGCCAGACAGCCTGGTGCCGCGGGAGGACTCGGCTGTCTGCGCCTTCCCCCTCCGCCTCCTCAACCAGGCCATGGAAGAGGGCATGGAGAAGTGCTGCGGCACCGGGCACCAGTCGCTGCTGCGGGGGCTCAGCTTCTTCCAGCCGGCGGAGTACTGCCCGCACAACGTGAGTCCTCCATCCCACGCCGCGTCCGTCCCGGGGGGCCTGGGGGTCAGCTGGGATGCGGGGAGGTGGATGTGGGATGCTGGGAACTGCTGGTAAAATGGGGTGGACAGCGGGGCGGGTTGGGCAGGGGGAGAGCGGCGTCGCCCAGGTGTGAGTCAGCCCTGCCAGCCACCCGCCGCCTATCACAGGGGCCACTGCGTTTCGCCAGCCCCGGCCGCGCCGAGGAGGTAGGGCGCCGGCAGGGATCCAGCTGTGCTCCCCACCCCGGGCACCCCGTGCTCGCCCAAGCTGTGTGCCGCAGACACGTGTCCTGGCACATGGGCACACTGCCACTTGCCATGCACCGCGCCACAAGTCCCTCTCCTCAGTGTGCCTGCCCCAGAGAGCACTGGCTCCGGCCCCCGCGGTGACTGTCCCCAGCGCCGGGCTGTTGATGGCCACCCTCTCCAGCTTGTTTATGTGTGTGGAGGACGGAGAAGCTGCGGGGCCTCGATGCTCCCCGGGCCGGGGTGCGCGGGGTGGCCGGCCGCTCCCGCCTTGCCCCCTCCCCGGCCCCAGGGCCACCGCCTTCTCTGGGCAAATAAACCGCAGGCGGAAGCACAATTAGTCACCGGTGTTTCTCGTCTGCCGCAGCCGTGGGGCAGGAACATTTTGTCCCAGGGACAAGCTCCAGCACGGCCGGGATGGGGATGGGCAGGCGCCCCGGCAGGGCCCCCTCTGCAGGCAGGGTCCCAGCAAGCACCTGTGACACAAGTTTTGGAATTCTCAGCCAGGCGCGGGGCGAGGCGCAGCCAAATCCCCTCCTCTTCCCACGCGCGGAGCAGCCAGCTCACTGCTGCTGACTCATGCCGCTGGCTGGGCGAGCCAGGAGGGGAGCCCCGGCCCCGAGCATCGGTGGGGGCCCAGTGGGGACCCCCCAGCTCCTGGTGTCCCCCTTCATCCCCAGCCCCCTGCCGAGCCCTGGGGGGTTGGGAGGGCTGGCTTTGGGGTGCCTGCCCCACGGTGCTGGCACCGATAACCACATCCAGATGGGGCGGGAGGGGAGGGCAGGATCTGACGCCATGCGGGGGCTATAGGAGGGGCCATGGATGTGGTTTTTCCCCCAGAATTTTCACAGCCTGGAGGGGAGTTTGGGCAATTGGGCACTCCCCAAAATACCTTGCGGCTGGAGCTGGTGCCCACCTGCGAGGGCGCGGGTGGTCGAGGTGCCCGGGCTGGCTTCAAGGCGCCCATCCCACACTTGGCTGCAGGTGAACCTCTCGGCTCCGGTGGCCAACACCAGCTGCTGGGACCAGCCCACCCTCATCCCCGCCGCCTCCCATAAGGTGGACCTGTTCAACAGGCATCTGGCCGGCATCCTCCTCACCTCCATCTTTGTCACCGCCCTGGGGGACGTCACCGTGGCCCACCTGGGCACAGCAGAGGGACGCATCTTCCAGGTGGGATGGGGGACCAGGAGGGGTGGGAGGTGCCTGGCGGGGTGTGGGGTCATGCTCAGCCCCCCGCTCTGCCCCACTGCAGATAGTGCTCCAGCGCTCCAGCTCCTACCTCCTCACCTTGGCCAACTTCTCCCTGGGGGAGCCGGGGCCGGTGCGGGGTGCCATGGGGCTGCAGAGCCACTCGCTGTTCTTCACCGCTGGCACCAAGGTGAGTGGGGGGCCCGGGAGGCGTGGGGTGGGCGCTGAGCCCCACGCACCCGCTCGCCTCCACTCTCCGTCCCCAGGTGTGGCGCCTGAACGTCACCGGCCCCGGCTGCCGCCACTTCACGTCCAAGCGCTGCCTGCGGGCCGAGCGCTTCATGGGCTGCGGCTGGTGCGGGGATGGGTGCACGCGCCGCCATGAGTGCACCGGCCTCTGGGTCCAGGACAGCTGCCCGCCCATCCTCACCGACGTAGGTCTGCGCCACCGTCCCCCCCTGCACCCCACATCTCCCAGGCACTTGGATGGGGAGGAAGGTGACACGTGGGGTGGCACATGGTGGGACCCTTGCTCCATCCAGAGACCCCATCTCCAGGACAGGTGTCGCGCCCCTCAGGGAAGGGGCTTTCCGGACCCGTGACCGTCACTGGGCTTTTGGGGCTCAGGGTGACGCGGTTGCCTCTTCCACAGTTCCACCCCCGGAGTGCCCCGCTGCAGGGCCGGACGCGGGTGACGCTCTGTGGCATGACCTTCCGCTCCCACCTGGACCCCGACCCCCGCCTCAGCCCCCCCGGCACCTATCGGGTGGCGGGGGGGCGGCGAGGCTGCCACGTGCTGCCCGGGGGGGGCAGGAG